GCTGTCGCGCTTTTCCTGGGGCTCTGGGTGCCAAGTTTCGGCTCGGAGCGAACTTTCTATAAACTGCTGAACTGCGAGGTTTGATGGAGGTGCTGACACAGCATTAACTGTAGCGTTGAAAATGCGAGGCTGTAATTTTCCCGCTTGAGTGTGTGCAGCTAAAAGGCACTTTTTTTTTTTCTTTTTTTTCCCCCCTTCTTTTACAGCGTGTGAGGATCTTGAGGCGTACTTAGGTTTCCAGGTTCTATATGAGCAATGTAATTCTAATAAATCTTGAGTTGCGAGAGAGAATTTGGTTTCAAAACAGGGCAGTAGTTTAGCAAACAATAATATTTATCTAGCATGTGTTTATCTCTCGCTGCTTCTGCAAGTGAGACAAATGACTTCCACTGCTGCCTTGCTTGGTGGGTTCCTGTTGTGCCCTGTTCAAAAGTGGAGGGTGTTTGTTGTTGTTGCTGCTGTATTTTGGTTTGTTTTATTTTTTTAACATGCCAGCAGTTCTGGTAAGTGCGAGGTCTTTTGAATTCAGGAGGAGGCTTTGAAACTGGATAATCAGTTTTCCAGAAAACACCACAGATGTCAAAAAATCTCTGAAATACTTACTTGCTTTTACTTTTATTTGGTAGTAACCGTATAGTACAAGTCTAGCTAAACAAAATCACTGTTTGAAGCAAGCTGCTCAGCTAAGGCTGCTGTTCTCCGTTTTTCTCGAGAACGGAGATCTTTCAGTAGAGTTCAAAGGTGTTTGAGCCCTTTTTGCTTGTGAATCTCGCCACTACTCTAAGAGAACCTCCCTGCAGCATGAGCAGGGGGTGGAGGTTCAGTCTCCATCAGCTGCCCGGTTACTGACCTTTCTCTTGTGCTTACTAACAAGGTGCCAATTAGTGATTTTTAATTTTTTTTTTTTATGATAGTGTTTTTGTGGTTGTGGATATTGTCCTGTGAATTCACTGAACAAAGTGTTCTGTTTGCTGCTTCTACGTGTAATTTATTACATTTGTTAAAAACAATGGTAAATACAAATTTATTGAAGTATGTTAGAAGGTAGAGAATAAAATGCTCAAAATTTAGGAAATGCCAGAATTAGGATTACTCAGGACCACACATTAAGGCAGATGGAGAGAAGCGTTGAATATGTTCACTGAATGGGGCAAGAATTTTCTAGGAAAAAATATGTGATCACCTAATTAAAGATTACCATAATCCCTATTCCCGTGAGGCTGAATTAAGATTCCTTGGTTTCTTACTTCTGATACTGTCCAAAGGTTTTCTGTTACAGTTAAGCTAATTCCACTTTCTCTGTCTGACTGTTAGACAGAGCCTTCGGAACATGGGAAAAACTGTCTCCCTGCTGCGGTCAGCTTGAACTCAGGCTTCTGTGATGCTGGGCAGCCACTGAAATCACTTATTTCAGGAAAATTCTTATGCAGCTCTTATAATCATGGGCAGGAGCATATTTGGTGCAAAACTGTAAAATGCCAGGAAATCTCTTCTGAGCATGTGTGAATCAGGATTCATAAAGTATGGCCACATGTGGGTATACTTAATGTAAATAAACATGGTCTGTAAAAGCACATCTTTGACACTAGTGTGGCTGTGCTGCCAAATTTTAGTTCCTTCCTCTTCAACACAGAGGGAACTGAATATCTTAATTACTTAATCACACAGGGTTTTTTATTAAAGGATAAAAATGATTTTTTTAAAATCAAACCACATTCTGCAAGTCGTCTGACCACGTTATCCTTCCACTCCTCACCCCCCTGTCCAGTGGTCTTGCAGCAGACAAGATTTAAACTCAAATATATAAAGGTCAGGAAATGAAAGCAGCCTGTAAAAGGGAGTGTTAAGCAAATTTAATTGTAGGTGTCAGCAGGCACACTGTACAAAATTATTTACTTCTCAATACTGTGTGTGATATACCATATGAATCTGAAATTATTTGGGAGATGACAGGAACTCCTATCAATTAAATAATATTTCTCTCGTCACAATTCATGTATAAAGAATTTAAAAATCTTTTACTTGTATCAGTTTAGAGAATATTCTTTCCCTTTGGTGGAGTCAAAGACAATTTATTAGAACTGGTTTTAAATTTTTCCAGATACTCGTCACAATTCATAATGCCAATTTTTAAAAATCTTTTACTTGTATCAGTTTAGAGAATATTCTTTCCCTTTGGTGGAGTCAAAGACAATTTATTAGAACTGGTTTTAAATTGTACCAGATAGGCTGAGCAATGAAATTTCACATTTTAATATGTGTTTATGACTTACAATATTTTATTAGTCTGATCTGTGAAAAGGAGTCATTTTACCAGGGGTGTTAATATTTTATGGACGAGTATGCTAACTAAAATATCATTTAAATGGTATTTACTAACCAAATAATTGCTTTTACTCAACACGCTGTGAAAATTGGCAAACAGACAACTTAAAAACATGTACAAAGGAAATACAGATTTTGCAGAGCCTCACATTATAGTTTATATACGTATTTTCTGTTTCTAATGTGCTTTGCAGAAAAACACGGAGCTGCAAGTTGGATTTGCCTTCAGATATTTATCAACATATTTTGACTGGGGTTCACTGCAGAATTAAATTACAAAATATAAATTAAGTTCCTTAGTTTTAATCTTTGCATGCTTTAAGTAGTTAAAGAACGCTATTTGCCAAATGAAAGGTGAATTCTGGACAAATATAGCCCTAAACAATTGAAATAATTGTTATCTATTATATGTTCTTGTTAGCTAGTATAATGAAGCATAGCAACTGGAAGCCACATTTTGCTCTATCTGTAGGGTTTCTCTCATTTTCTTGCCATTTTAGGGCCTGAAAATTGAACTAATATGAAAGCTTGTAAAACCACTCAAAATATTCTGAATAGGATAACTCCACTTTTGATTAATGCTTCCTCTTTGGAGAGGAATTAACAGCCAATTGTGTTTTGATACTCTCTCACCTGCCCAAATTATATGGCAAAAGCTCAGGCTCTTAAAACCAGAGGCCAGTAGTAATATGGGTATGTGTCAGTCAGCAGGTAATGAAAGTGGACTTGCAGATTTCTTCACAGTGATGCCCTACACAGTCACTATGTTAGGGCTACAAAATGGCAGATGAGCAACCTTTCCCGGTAATGCCGGCTGTTTTTATTAATTTTAAAGCTCTCTCATTGAACACAAAGAGTGCTAGAAGTGATATCACTGTAAGTGTTCAGAAATCAAGAATAAATCTCATTATTTCTGAGGCATTACTTAAGAATCAGGAGATCAAAGAACTCTTGCTGTTTGGTGCTGAAGTGTTTGGAGTTTTCAGATGTTTCTCTTCAGCCATGACAGTTAAATTTGAAATTTCATTTCATGAACCTACTAGTTGTGGCCCTAAGAGAAAAAATAAAACAAAAGAAGAAAACAAACTAAAAACTCCATTGAAATACCACAAGAATAAGTGAGGGTGCAAAATGACAGATACTCAGGTTACCTGGAAATGGGTGGGGTGGGGGTGGGTGAGATGGCTGCTTGGTGCTTTTTCTGGCCAAAGAGAACTAGAATCTGGTACTGCGAAAATAAACTGTACACCTGACCTGTACAAATGTCTTCTCTAAAACAGCTGCCATTCTGTGTTTAGGAAATAAAGCAGGGAAAACAAGATACGTTTAAAAAGGGAACATAATCTTGTCAGCTACATCTGCTTTTTTCTTCAAAGTGAATTGAAGTTGGAGATTGTTTTTAACATACCTATGCTATTCCAATAATACTGTGACAAAGAAGACGTGTAAGCTATGTGTACTGGTTTTTAACAGCTGGAAAAAAATCACATTACAGGGGGCACAATGGAGGCTTGAGAACAAAATCAGGAGAATATGAGACACCTTCTGTGTTCTGTGAAAACAAGGAGTTTGGAAAACTGCTCGCTGCTTACATGGCGCTTTGAGATTTAGGTGGATCCTGCTAGGATGGGAGCCCCTTCATCTGAGCGACACACAAGCTTCCGCCATACGTGGTTATTTCTAACACTGAGAGAAACTTGGGTGCATTTCGACCCTTGACCTGGCTAGGAGTTTTAAAACGGGGGGCAGACAGTGTCATTAGTGACAATGATTGTCACTGGATGGTTTCCACAGAGAGTGGTCTGGCCTCCCCTAACTGGAGCTTGTTTCAGATTGTTTGAGGAGCATGCAGGTACCAATGCCACATGTCCAGCTTAATTTTTTTTTTTGATTCGTGTCTGAATCAGCGTAGTTCATTCTGTGAGCTGTCTACTCCCTGCATTTTAGTTGTCTTCGTTCACAATATGTAGTGCTTGCATTATTATACTCGCGATGGCAGCCTCCCTGGACTGTTTCCACACTTTCCCAGTAGTTACTTTTATGGTTTTCTCTATCCTGTTCTTTAAGCTGGGAACCTGATTTGAGGTGGCCCTAGGGTCACTAATCAATCCTCTTTCAGATCCTTTCTCGGGTCTCACTTCTGCGATAGCGTTTGAAGGAATTAAACTAAGTAGAGGAGCAGTTGTATATTGAGGGAGAAAATATTTTTAGAGTAACCATATACATTTTACTACTTTTCCTTCTCATTTTTATGTTGTGATTTTAGGTGGTGAGCTGTGGAAGCAGGGTCTGTTTCTTCTCTATCCTTTCAGTGCCTTGAACATTAAGGATACTGTTACAGTATTGATAATATAAGGGCAATGTTGCAAAAATAATAGATTTTTAAGGTCAGAAAAGAGCAAAGTCAATTAAACACCTTAAACTATGTACGAACACTGCACGTTTGCTGTCCTTATTGACGTCAGTTGCTGTTCTCAAATGTTCAGCTTTTCTGAAAAATGGTCTTCAAAATTGCTCAGTCTAGAAATAGATGACATGCCATTAGTGAATGGGAATTTTACAAAAGGGATATTTTTTTCTTCATTTTGCAGCTAGGGAGGTATGGGCTATCTCTAATAGTGTTTACGTTTTTACACAAAAGGCCTTGTATCAAGTTGCATATACTTCTGTAGTTAAGCAGGCTTATAATTTTCACTACCAGCTATCTTGTAGAGGGTCATTCCTTGTATTTTATTTTTAAAATATTAGCCATTGTTTTGCCTGTGCTGTAAATAGTCTCGTAGCTGTGCTGTGGACAAGCTTTAGCAGCTTGTTTCTTTGAAGCGGAGAATTTACTGGGGGTAGGTGTGCCACACTGATGTCAAGGGCGTACCTTTTCCTGTGGTCATACTTTTTTCTGAGAATGTTTGTCTTTGGACAAACCCTAAGTTTTTTTAAAAATTTGTTTTTTCACAGGAAGGACCTACCCTGATGTTTTGCTTTGATGCTTTGTTACAGGCTGCTATGAAGGTGGGCACCACAGTGGAAATCAGGAAAACTCTCTCCCCGTTGCTTCTAGTGCTTTCCTAGGGAATGCACAAGCACCGTGAAGGAGAACATCTCATTGCACAAACATAGCTCTGAAAGTGCCTGCGAAGTGTTGGAGGGGCTGGAGAGTAAGGAGAAGGAACCTGAGGATGGAGAAAGCTGGAAGTGGGATCAGATAATGAAACTGGGGGCTAGCTGGACAAGGAGACTGAGGACAAGAGCTAGGGGAGCAAGCAGCGGATATGGGAAGCATTAGAAGTGACGGAACTCAGATGAGGAACAGAGTGGAAATGGAAGGAGAAGGGAGCTAGTTGTGACCAGGGGGTGGAAAGATCGAAAAGAGACAGGACTATAAGGAAGACAGGTTTCAGAGACGTTGTTGCAGGATGTTGTTTAAAACAAATGTAGTGATAGCGTAGTAATTAAGGAGGTGTAATTTGTGGGCACCAAGTTACCAGAATGTTTTAAGAAGGAACTGAAGAAGACATAAGGCAGAGGTTTTAGGGCTCTCTGATGGAGATACCTCACATACCTGAAGAACTGCAGGAAGCTGTGGGAGCAGGCTCTATATTACTGCTGGACCATGCTTCCCCTAGCATCTAGGGTAAAACCTGACATTCCTGAGTCTTGCTCTTCTTGTGCTGTAAGCATTTGTCTGTGAGACTTAAATGGGCCCCGTTCCCCTCTGTTGGTGGTCCTCACTGAAGAGGACAGTGTAGTGGTACCAGTTGCTCCATTAGCTCATGTTGCAGGTGGATGGTTGTTCAAAAGGCTCCGTCTCTGCTGGCGAACACCAGGGTGCTGCCACAAGAAGGCGTTTCAGTCTCAGTTCTGAAAGCCCAGAAAATTATGCATTTCCACACAAGTATGGACATCTAAATGCTGTCTGTTCAAAGAATGGTAAAGTTTGTATATTCAACTCTTGGCAGCTGGACACTCTCCTCATAAATTCCATCGTGTTTGTATGCTTCTAGAACATCAGTGATGTGCTTGCACTCTCCTGCATTGTGTAATTTTAAAAACTTGAGGTTTATTTTGTGCTGCTGTACAACATTAAGGAAGTTTATGATGTGTGGAACTGTAGAGGCCCTTTTGGTTCAGCTGTCTGCTCTGTAGCTACTTGCAGTTTCAGAATACTATACTTAGTGACCCAGGTGATCTTTCCATCTTTTTGTGTCTCTGAATATTCTGTGGTTAAAAAAATGGGGCATGCATGTATAATCACATCGTGCCATATTCATGTGATGTTCTGCTTTGTTACCTTAAGAGTATCACAAACTGTTTCCTTCCATGCAAGCATTTGCTAGTTTGAAACTTACAGCAACTGGTGCTTTCTCCCATGCCAAGTAATCAGTTACTCAAACTGCAAATATTTAGGCTTTTTTTCAGCTAAGAAAGGGAACAAATGAAGAAGGGTGCAGTAAAACTGGAAAAAGGAACTTCTCGTTTTACCATTCACATCTTTTTTTTGGAACGGTCCTTTCCCTCACTTTGCCATCAACTCAGGATTTGTTCCTCTTTTTCACAAGGACTTTGTATGTGATATACACATATGAAAGTATTTCCATCAAACCTTAAACTCTTAACTTTCTCTTTAAAATTTTTCCTTCTGTGGTGCACACTGAGTTGGTATGTGACTGCTTAACCTGATCCTGATTAGCGTGATAATGTCTTGGGACAACCTTGATCTTGCTGATGCTCTTGTCGTATTTACCTTTATGCAACGTTACTGATATCCTTGCAGTTTACACATGCAGATGTGCAATGATAAAAAATAATTTGGTGATTCCTGAAGAGCGTACAGTGCAACCATTGGAAGTGCTTATGGTTCAGGTGCCACTGATGCTGACCGAGAATGTTCTGGAGTGAGATGTAGATGTGCTGGAGACAGCCTCTTGCCTTGAAAGGGATTCCAGTAGGTTAAGGCAGAAGTGGGAAAGAAGAGTAACCAGTAAATGTTGGTTTAGTGACATAATTTTGTGGATATGTATCACTAAATAACATGTTCCAATCTTCTGTTGTTCTGCATTTCTTTAATGCTGAAACAGGTTTTTTTTCCTTAAAGATATATGTATTTTACTGCAAGTGTTTGAAAACTGCTGGTGTTTTTCATTTGTCAATATTGTAGTGAAATATAACTTGTTGTTGATAAATAATTTTTCTTGGTTCAGAATACTTAGTGAAACCATGTAAGTACCATAGTATGCATAAATATACCATCATAGAACATCATACAAATAATTCTACATTTTTCAGGAAATAGTATTTGGGCGTTATCTATTTCCCGGGATGAGGGAGCTGAGATTTATTTTTTACTGTGGCAAATAATCACAATAATTCATATATTCAATAAAATAATGCGTATATGCAAAATTAACTTCTTTGCTTACTGAACGGTCAAATCTGCAAATGACAGCTAGAAGTTACTTTTTCTTGGCGCGATGCTCGTGCAGCGCTTGCCTGCGGGGAGGTCTGCAGGTGGTGTCGGTGGGCGGGGGTGTTTTCCACAGCATGATGCTGCCACCTCGTGGCGAGAAAGAATTGAGCCCAAGTAATACGCGCTTTTTTTGGGGTTGTACACAGTTTATTTCAGTGTGATTAGTACAGTGATTTTTAATAGATCTTAAAGCGAGTAGCCATCTCTACAGGATTACTCCTTGAAACTGCAGAGAAGCGTTTTTGTTTGCTTGAGTTTTAATACCTTAAATGTTTTATTTTGGAAAGCAGGATGACTGGAAGCCTAGCATCGCTTTCGTTGTTGGGACCAGAATTGAGGATGAACTCCACACCAAGGCCCTGTCTCTTGCTGTGCAGGTGCCACAGCGGAAGCTCTTCAGCGTGGTAACACGTGAAGACATTTTCAGACAGGTATTCCAAGAAAGGAACTTTTGATAACAAACTAAACTCTAGATCTCACTTGTAGTTACTAACCTCTTTGGTCTGTGGTAACTATTAATTTTGTATTCAATTGAATTACTTTGTGGAATTTTTAAAAATTATACTAATTCATAAGAGCTAAAAATGGAAAAAGAAAGGCTTACTGCATAAGCTAGTCTGGTTCTTGTAAACTGTGACATGTTTTACAGAATTTTCTTCGAGGTGCTGTTCACAAAAGCTCCCTCCCTAAGGTACAGGGGTACCAAAAGATGATTCTTCACTGTTTTGGAGTGTGAGTGTAGTGTTTCCAAAAGGGAATAATGAGTCAAGTAATTTGTGTAAACTTAAAATCTTCTCACAGTAGATTTATTTCCTTGCAGGTCAGAGAATCTGGGAATCCAAAGGGAAAAAAGGTTAAGGACGTGCCTATGTACTATGAGGTAGGTAAAAACATGTCTTGGAGAGTCCGTGCTCTGTTACACTGAAGTAAATACAGCTGTGTGATTTTGTTATGCATACCTGAGTAAATGCAAATCTGTTGGATGTAGCCGGTAAAAACACTAAACTATCTAGATACTTAAATTGCTTTCTTTTTGTGATACCAACAGTGTTCTGTTGGACTGCTAATTAAGTGAGGATCGAGATGTCTTTTTAGGGATATGAGTTTTATTATGTTAAGAATGATATGTGATCATATTTTGATGGTGGTGTCACAAATTCCAGAAAAACAATTAGACTCTTCTCTCTCAGATGCTCCCAGTTATTTAGAGATTTCGACCTTCATTTACGGGAATGCAGTCCCATAAATGAAACACCATCTCTCTGTGCTAGTATCCATTTTAATCTCAGTTTGATGTTACATTCTAACCTGGTTTGTCTAGTGGGGTATGTCAGCGGGGTTAGGAATCATGCTTACTACAAAGAGTACTTCCTCCTACCTTGTTAATATTTTACTTACAGCTTGTGAGAGGTTATAAAAGCCTGCGATTAATTGGAAGATTGTCTAAAATTTTCTCAGGTAGAGTTTTATGGCCCTACAGACCTGGAGCATAAAGAATTTTGGATCCCTCTAAAAAGATCTTGTTTGCATTTTAGTTCTGCAATGACTAATAAACTTTTTATGTAGCTCAGGTTTTCGTGGACTTTATAACGGGTCTATTTAGTTGCACTCTGTTTTTCAGTAATGCCAGGCTACTATCTGAACAAGTCCCTTTGGAATTATTTGCCACTGACATGACTGTGAATTTTATGCAATTAACCCTCTTCATTTAGGACTAGCCTCGCAGGCAAACTCACCCTTATGTTACCTGGTATGTAAAACCTCTTCAGTCCTACTGACAGCGGGATTTTGAAGTCTAACTCTAAGCAGAAGCTTTGTATGATACCTGTATTTAATTACTAAGAGCAATTTTTTCTTGTGAAGTGGATACTTATTAAATTCCAGCTGTCAGTGCTGTGTCTCATTAGCTACTTACTTTACGCCTCAAAGACATTTTTTTTCCTCCCCTCCTTTAAGAGAGAGTATAAAGTGCCTGTTGTGACCTTTTGCTTGGACTCGGTTTCCGTTCTGGCTGTAGCGAATTAAAAGATTGATCATGTTGCCACAAGCATTAAAATCCTGCCTCTCTGGGCAGAATTTGCTCCTGAGCGTTCACTTGAAGTCCCATGTGTAGCTTGTGCATTCAGAGCTTTCACTGCAGTAAGGATAAATGAGCACGATGTTATCACAGGGCATAGGGCTGTGAAATGTTCGTCTGAGAGGAGCATTTCTATCTTTACCGCATACGGTTCTCTTTGTGGCAATATTCAACACACTGGCATTTCCACAAGTGCATATTCATTTCTAGGAAGACTGTGAATGAGATTCCTGATGTTTAATGGTGTTTGAACATATGCTGTGTACATGTGTGTGAGTTTAGGACTGATGACATGCATGGTAATGTGGTTATTAGTGGTAATAATAATAACATTGTTACCCATATCATTGGTCTTCCACATTGTGTCTACTGAAATACAAGGGGTTCTGATAAATTTAAGTGCAGCACTCTGCAGTGCCTACAAGTCTAGAAACTAACAAGCTGCTCTTGGTATATTGCAAGCTAATTATGTATCATATTAAAGTAATTCCTGTTGTGTATTCTAAATTATTTCCCTTTAGGGTTTCTATCATCTTACTGTGTTGTATTTCATATAGCTCTTATTGTACAAAGTGAAGAGGATCAGGGCAAGGTTTATGAATATGTAGCTAAAAGATTTCCAAGTCCAGGAGATTTAGGTATCTAACACCTTCTCTGTCTCTTAAGTGACTTGATGGGAGCAGGAGTCCTGATTGGTAATTTTGTGCTAATTCCAGCACTTAATTAAATGATGTTAGGCTGAGCCTCTCATAAAGATGCCGTGGAAATTATTCTTTTTCTTTGTATATGGAAGCAAAAATTTTGCACTTCCTGTAAAGTATCAACAGATTTTATAATGAATCAGATTAATTTGTTGTGTACAGTTTTTCCAACAGACAGAACTCTAGTATGTTTGAATAAAAAATATATATATATGCATTTTGTAAGCAGGGTATGTGTCTTTTATTGTTTATATGCCTGTTTGTTTTGTCAGCTTTCAATTAAGATTGGCAGTGTCATGTGTAATTAAGGTGCTTTACCACTACTAAATATGATAGCATTTTAGTTTCCAGACTTTGAATTTTGAAAATCTATTCAAGCTTAAGTTTTCCGCACTAGATTTGTTCATGAGGCTGATTCCCCACCACCACCACTTTGAAAATTCTGTTGAGATTGGGTTCAGGGGCTATGTGGATGGAAGGATTTTTTTTTTTTTTTTTTTTTTTGTAAGAGTTGTTTTCCAGTTTTGCTGGACTTACTGGGACGGGGTCAAGAAAGCTACCTTTATGTTACCCAGGAATTTTTGAGAAGGAATTTTGTCCCATACTCATAAGGGAACAAGCTGGAGCTGGGGAGTAGTACCTTGATGAGAAAAGATTGTGAAAGAAGATGGAGCCTCATGTGTCCCCTTCATGTGAGAAGACTGGAAGTAGATAGATGGTGTGGCAAAAAGTGGACAGTTGAATAAGGGTGTTGGCCATTAGAGAGAGAGGGATGGAAGCAAGGGAGATGTGGAACAATTTTATGGTTCTCAGATAAACTGAGATGCTTGGAATAGACTTGTGGAAAAATGAAAAAAGGCACAAGGGGCAGAGAGGAGAGAAGTTTTGTTTGGCTGTGGATCCCAGAATGCTGCCTTCAATATGTGTCCTTGTGCTTGTGAAGCCAGCAAAACTGAAGTCTTGTAACAGCAGCATCCTTCTACGCTGCTCTGACTGATCTCCAGGACAAGCCATCCTGTGTAACCAAAAAGGCTTAATTGCAATTAAAAATGCTAATCTTTATTCCACTACCTGTCAAGAGTTAATATTTTAATTCTGGTTTCTCGCAGCAAGGCTCCTATCTATAGTTGTCAAACTGAAAAATTTAATCGAAATGGATGCCAAATCCAAATCGTGGCCCATTCTCATCCTGGAGTTCTGTGGGACTGGAGCAGAATAAATCAAATGTGAAGAAGTATTTTCCAGCTGCTGATCACTGGGTAGATAGCTAACTCTGCTGGCGTCTCCAGCATTCTGAGGATGGGAGGCAGCCTGAGCAGTGTGCGCTACGCTCCAGAAATCCTCACCAGACTTACAATTCCTTGAGGTCAGGTTAGAATACAAGTTAGAAAAGCTCCTAGGCATGGCAGAATTTTATATATATAAAAAAATAAACCTGAGGAGTAAATTCACCTTCTGCTAGGTTCTGTATAGTATGCTGGGAAAAGTGGAAGTGTGCTTTAAGTAGAAAAGATGAGCACAACCCAGAGGAAGAGGACATTACACATGTGGAGTGAAGTCAGCGGTAGCAGCAAATCCCATTACTTGAAGGGAATGAGAAGAGGAGGTGGTTGAGGAAGGCATTCATGTCAGAAAGGAAAAAGTAAATGGACTCTGGGCTTTGGGCCTCAAATGTAGTAGAAGTGTTTGGTGTAGTTGAAAGGAAAGTTTCCAGCAAGTGATTTTTTTTCAATCCTGCACCCTGTATTTAATGATGCCTTTTTTCTCCTCTTCATCATTCCTTCCCCTGCGAGACACAGCTTTGAAAGGAAGAGTCTTCCTTCTCCCTTCATCTCTAGTAAAACTGACCAAATGTTCTCTGTGTCCATCTCAGTCTAGGCTGGGAAGGGCTTACTTCTCCGAGAGCTAACTTTTGTGGTCAGGTGTGAAAACTTCAGACTCATTTTTCAAGTGTAAATATGATCTGGTTTCCCAAGAGACCATAGTGAATGCTACAGAAATAAATATATATTTGTGTGCACAGAATAAGATTGCTAAATTGTTTTGATTCTTCTTTTTTGGTGAGAAAGGCTACTGACAAGAAAATTTCTAAACACTGTAGCCCAAGAGCTGGATTTCTTACCACTGTTGGTATCACCAGTTTTTTTTTATGTTCTGTGAAATTAGTAAATAAATAGATTTGATTGGCGGAAGAGACTGTTGTGACCTGTAGCACAGGTCACAGTATTTTTTTATAAGATAATCTGTGTGTTGAAATTTTTAAAATCAAGATTGGATATTTTTTCTAAATGATTGAAAACAGTTGAGAATCTGCTACAACTTAATTTGTTTCTGGGGAGAACCTTTCCTGATCAAAGTTACTTCTAGTTTCAGTGTAAATGTATATTTCAGTGTATAGTTTACAGCCATTTTTACTAAATTAAATAAAAACTTGCAGTTTATCTTCTCTGTGTAGAAACTTTGAGATTTTGCTCAAATTGCCCCTTAATTTTTCTTTTTTATTTAGCAAAGTGTAATAAATTCCTTTGTGGGTTTTTTCAATTCTTTAATAATTTCTGTGAATCTTCTCTAACAAACATTTAAAGTTCACTTTTTATTTAATTGTGGACATTGAATGGACTTAGTGTTTTTGTTGAATACATATCAAATACAAGCATAACGTAAGGCATGTGCTCCTATTTGATAGCTTATTGTGTACAAACCTTAAGATTCTGTAAGTTATCTTGGCGTCTGTCTTGTACAGAGAGCTAATTTTAGATTAATTGGCTCGTCCTTGACCAATGAGTCCTTCCCAAAGTTACCATTTACAGGTTGTCCATTCTGTAAATTTGGCCTGTTTTCTTTCCTCTGAGATATAAGTCTTGTAATTTAACAAAATCAAATCCCATTGCTTTCTTGCACTATGCTAGCTACATTAACTGAATTTCTTTGTATTAAGTAGTTTTCCACTGCATTCTTTATATCTCCCATGGTTATTGTGTCTTCCAGAGATCTTGTAATTGAAGACTTTGTGTCTTTTCCCAGATCACTGACAAACTTTAAATAGAGTAGTCTCAATATGTTGTATGCTTCAGACCCCACAAGAAACTCATCTGTTTGATG